CCTTCATTTCTCCAGGTTTCCTGGGCACTTTCCGTTAAACCAGATCTTCATTTCTCCTCTGTGATTCAATCGAACAATAAGAAATGAGGAATTTCAGTGTCTTCGAGCGATTCGCAAAAGCTTTCCAGGAACATCCTTCTCTCTCCAGAATCATCGTCGTCTCCACGATCAGGTCATCTTCTTACAAACGATTCATAGCTCTCTATTCCATTTATGTGTGTAATCTGCTCTTTGTTTGTGCGTAACCTTACGATTTCTCACTCGATTCTCTGTCTATATCACGTATGATACATCGATCCTTCTGTGTATTGATTTTTTTCTTTGTTAGATTTGTTTCCAGCTTTCGTTTGGAAGGAACGATACAGTATAAGATGCTTATTCTCCCCAAAAAAAATATTGAACAGATTCTCTATTGTAGTATTCACGCAACACTTGTGCGTTTTCTACATTCTGAATCTCCCAATATTCATCACGAGAAACGCAGTGTAACAAATCTGATTCAATACAACTCTGGATTTGATTATTTCGTTGTACCGTTTATGCTAGAGAGTGATGTATTGCGTATATGTCCTGGATCTTGTGCATTCCGAAACATCAATATTGTTTATCCTGTGAATTTTCGAGTAATTACTGAACACAGTGAAATGATCGTGGATTTCTCCAGATCTCCGATTTTTCTGATGTTTAGCTTTTTTTGGTTTTTTTTTTTGTGATCTGTGTCTAATAAAGCAAAGATTTGATTCAGATTGTATAACTTATTGATAATGATTTACTGAAATTTGTTATAGTGGTGGAGGACTTATAGCATATTCTGAGGCAAACGCATCCTATGGCACAAACGGTGTTGTTGAAACTGGAACCAAGAAGAAGAAGGTGGTGCTGCTTGGAACTGGATGGGCCGGAACTAGTTTTTTGAAGAATTTGAATAATTCTTCGTATGAGGTTCAGGTTATATCGCCACGAAACTACTTTGCTTTCACTCCCTTGCTACCTAGTGTTACTTGTGGAACTGTTGAAGCTCGCAGCGTTGTTGAACCAATTCGAAACATTGGAAGAAAGGTAATTGTGCTGTAATTTGGCTAAATCTAGATGGACATTGTATCTTCCTTTCCTACTGTTGTGTTCTGTGTCTCTGAAACGTATTATCTTGATTAGACTGACATGCAGTTGCTATAACAGTAAACAAATTTCTGGTTTACTAGTAGTTTGTTGTTTTTGCGCATAAGTTTTTTTGGTTACGGGTATGTGTTGGATGATTAGGATGATGCTTCTTCTATTTTCGAAAGTGTGATTTTATCCTTTGTTGAAAAAATTGCTAATGCACGCTTGCTTTCCTGTCCTGGCAAGCAGAAAAACGTTGATACGTCTTACCTGGAGGCAGAATGTTTCAAAATTGATCCAGCAAGCAAGAAAGTTTACTGCCGATCCAAACAAGGCATTACTTCGAATGGGAAGAAAGAATTTTCTGTTGACTATGACTACCTTGTAATTGCTACTGGAGCTCAGTCTAACACCTTTAACATACCTGGAGTGGAAGAGAACTGTCATTTTCTGAAAGTAAGTCTTCTTGGCTCTTAGTTCATTTTCCTGCTTCAGTTGATATATTGTTATGTAAGCGGTGATAGTTTATAGCTCAGACGCATATGAAAGTGTACATATGGATGTGAAAATTTTCAAGGCTTTGATGGATGTCAATATATCTGTCTGTAGGAGGTTGAAGATGCCCAGGGAATCCGCAAAACTGTAATTGATTCCTTTGAGAAGGCAAGTTTGCCAGAATTAAGTGATGAAGAAAGAAAGAGAATCCTACATTTTGTGGTTGTTGGTGGTGGACCAACAGGTGTTGAGTTTGCAGCTGAGCTGCATGATTTTGTTAACGAGGATTTAGTCAGACTCTATCCTAAAGCAAAGGATTTAGTGCATATCACACTTCTGGAGGCTGCTGACCACATCCTGACCATGTGAAATTTCTTGACCTTTAAAACTTGTGAATCCATAAAGTAATCATGTTTCCATAAAAATTTGTATAGTGATTAATTAGAAGCTGTTCTCTCACAGGTTTGACAAAAGAATTACTGAGTTCGCCGAAGCCAAGTTCAACAGAGATGGTATTGATGTGAAACTAGGCTCGATGGTGGTGAAAGTGAATGAGAAAGATATATCTGCTAAAACCAAAGGAGGAGAGGTATCTTCAATTCCTTATGGAATGATTGTCTGGTCAACTGGTATTGGGACCCGCCCTGTGATAAAAGACTTTATGAAACAAATTGGACAGGTGAAGTAATGTGCTTATATAAACTCACACGCTACAATCTTCAACATTTCGTAGTAAACATGTTTTCATCAACTCGCTCTAAGAAATTGTCTTTGTAATTGCAGGGTAATAGACGTGCTTTAGCGACTGATGAATGGCTTCGGGTAGAAGGATGTGATAATATATACGCCCTTGGTGATTGCGCAACAATCAACCAGCGCAAAGTCATGGTAATTAATTATTCTCATGCTTTCCAAACTCTGGACCAATGGTTTGGATTATAAACCAAGAATATAATAATGGTTTCATGTTGCAGGAGGATATTTCTGCGATTTTTAACAAAGCTGACAAGGACAAGTCTGGGACACTGACTGTCAAAGAGTTTCAAGAAGCAATGGATGACATTTGTGTAAGATACCCTCAATTGGAGCTCTACATGAAGAGTAAACGTATGCGTGGCATTGCGGATCTTCTAAACGAAGCTCAAGCTGATGATGGCTCCAAGAAGAACRTCGAACTGAAGATTGAAGAATTCAAATCCGCTCTTTCTCAGGTTGACTCACAAGTGAAGTTTCTTCCAGCTACAGCACAGGTAAAAAGTTACTCTTCCATTCTTCAATGAA